CCGATCCTCCAGCGCTGACTGGAGGAACGGACGGGGAGGGGGCGGGTACAGCTGGCCTCTGCCTCTAGATAGGCAGAGCCAGCTGTCACTCACGCAGCTAGGCGGATCCAGACATAATTGTCGGGATATGCTTCAGCTGCGGCATCTCAGTATACCCCGAGCTACAGCTGAGCTTAGAGTGACGGGAGGACGCTAGTTTGTGTCCTCCCGTTATCCTAAGGAGAACTATGGGGAAAAGCCCTAACCCCATAGTTCTCCTTTAACTGCCTCCGGGCCGGCCGTAGTAGAAAAACGGCCGGCCCGGAGCTCTCTAGATCTGAGCGGGCGTCTTCAGACGTCCGCTCAGATACGCGCGGCGCGCGCGAGCGGGAAATTGCCGTTTTTTAAAAATAGGCAGCGATGCCTGATACCATACAAGCGATCCGTCGGAATTTTCAAAATTTTCTGTAATTTTTCCTAATTATAATTTAAAAAAAAACCCCAGTGGTGAATAAATACCACCAAAATAAAGCTCTATATGTCCTTAAACAATGGTATAAAATTCATTTCAGTACAGCGTTGCATGACGGAATAAACGTCAGTCAAAGTACCGCAGCGCTGAACACTGAAAAATGGCCTGGCCCGGAAGGGGGTCTAAACACCTGGTCTTGAAGTGGTTAAGGACATCCATCAGTCATGAAAGTGTCAAATGCTGAGGAGTCTGACAGGTTGCAGGTAGTGAACACGAGCCACCAGCGAGGTAAGTATACTACCTCTTCTATTGCAGGGTACAGCCATTTGAATCCATTTAGGGAACTTGCAGCGTCTCATAAAGCTGACAGCTAAATACATAGATAAAATGTATATATGGGAGCTGCTTCACCCGCCAAGGAATTTGTATTTGTCTACCACACAGCCGCACCTGACCAAAGAAGGGGACCTAATCTTTCTCTGCTGCAGTTTTACTTTTACTCCCCACCCACAACCTGTAACTGGACAGTGAAAGGAGAAGCAGCAGACTGATGAGCTCCTCTCTCTGTCACCCGACTCTCTCTTCCTATCAGCATGCTCCTTGTACTGCAGCACAACTAATTGGCTCCTTGAGTTTCTGCTTCTCCCTCTCACCGTCTGAGCTCTGGCGGTACCCACAGCCTTCTTTCTGCGTCATTACCTGTAATACAGGTTTCATAGACTTACGTTAGATGTGAGGATGCTGAGGAACAGTCCATCAGCCAGAACGGAGGGGAGAGAGCAGAGCGCCGGAGGAGCGGTGATGAAGTAAGTAAAAGTGCTTTACTCCCCTAGGCATAAAGGAGAACTTAACCCTTCCAGTGCCGGGTAGCCCTACTACAAGGGTAGTTTTTTGGTTTTCCCCCGGGATGGGCTTTAAGCAACGTTAGTATCTAATTCACCAGAAGTGTAGTCATATTAATTGTATTATGTTGCACACATGTGTCATTGCTTTACCTTCCTCCTTAGGGATAACTGCAAGCCTTTTTGATATAAAGGCAATCAGAGAAGAATACAGTCCAGCCAATCAGAATGAGAAGGCTGGGCCAGGATTTGTAGGGGGAGAACGTCTAATTGAGCTGTAGCATCCCTCGTCCCATCATGTAGCATTGCAGTGTGAAGGCAGAGGGGGCTCAGACTGGATGCTGCACAGAACCGATATTCTCTCATCAGCAGGCTAATTACAACTGCCTAGCACTGTCACATCCCCGATCTGCTGGCTGTAGCCTGGAGACCACATCCCTCCTCTGCATTGCATGGACAGGATCGTATCCTGATACAGCAACTACTTTTAGGACCGCAGAGCACCAAACTGCATCTCATCCACAAGACTTTTCCCCGGGTTTGATCGATCCCACTCCTACAACTCCTATCTCAAGTGTATGCTGAGCGCCTTGCGTAGATCTCCTTGCTGTAATCTGAATCTGCATCCATCCCTGGATCTCTGGGTACCACTTTAATTCCTAGTGTCCCAAAGACCGCATCTTCACCCTACTTGATCAGACGCTTTCATTGACTGCAAAATCACTTTATTAAGAGCAGCATCATGATGTCCTGTACTGAGCTGATCACCATGTGCCTGTTGTCTGCTAAACATTTCAACAAGGACCAACCCCTGACCGCCCCGCCGGAGATTGCCAAGCAGGATCTATCAATATTCCGAGATGTGAGTGTCCTTTTCTTATGGATGTATCTTGTGTGTTTGGTATCAGTATGGGGAGAGTATTATAATGTGTGAGTGTACATGTGCACCTTCCAAATGAAAATGAGATAGAATATAGACATTATAATGGCAGCTCTACTGAAGCTCAAACATGTCAATTATATAATTTTTGTTGGACTGATTAATATAGATAAGATCAAACATTCTCATCCAGGGTTCAGTGGTACACTAGGGTTTCTCCAGAGGTTGTTAGGGGTTCCTTGAGCTGTGACTGATTGACTCCCCACCCCCCTTCTGATGATACCTACATAGATCCAACACCACTTGGCAGAGGCAGCAGCATGACATCAATGGTCTTTTTAGATGGCAGAAAGGATGGCATCCTGACCACCAATGGTTGCATTTTTCTCTCTGACCCCCAGCAAAATGGTCTCAGAAGGACTTCCCTAGGATGGGTAAAAAGGTTGGGAATGGCTGGATTGAAGGGTCATTTCACCCAAAAGTGATATGTAGAATGTTTTCATTGTAGAGAGTGGATGTTGTTCATTTTACTATATGTAGTCTTTGGTCTGGTGCTGACCTCTCTCTTAAAAAGTCTATATATAGGATACATAAATGGGACTTCCCAGCATTTTAAACCATACACATCAAATCCTAAGTGGCTTTTGACAGCATTATTGCCATATGATTTGATGTATATGGTCTCAAGTGCAGGTTATTGATGTCCCCATTCATTTATCCAGAACTGATACGCAGTTATATATGGAGCTGGCTGGCCTGAGGTTGCCCCTGGCTTCTTATAAAGTCAAGCACTAGTGTGCCAAAACTACTACTAAGAGTCCAGGACAGTATTTTACTGATTCCACAATTATCATGGAGATGACAAGAGCTCATTTCGGGGGCTCCTCCTTCATTGGTGCTTATGCAATTCCTTGCACACACTGGAGCCCGGGCTTGTGTATTAATGTAAAAAAATTGGTAGTCAGTGTGCGTCATCAATAGACAGCTTTGCAAGGAATTGCTTAAGCCCCGATGGAGAAGGATTGCTTAAAGCCACACAAAACACAGGGTTGCATGTTAAAAATGCATTCAAGTACCTTAACTTTTACCAAAAAAGTATCTTATTTGTGTATCACTCGGCTGTAGAGACTCAAATGATCTCTGAATTTGTGCCGACACTGTCCTTCCTTCTGGAGGATGGCTACTACTGTTCCCCATGGTCCCTGTGTGTGTTGTAGAGTAGCCAACGCTCCAAGCTCACAACGAGGATGGACTACAATCTCAATACAAATTAGTCAATTAGACGTGATATTGTAGTCCATCACGGGAGCGAGCTTGGAGCGGTGGCTACTTTACAACACACACAGGGACCATGGGGAACAAAAGTAGCCCCCCCTCCAGAAGGAAGGACAGTGTCAAACCCAGGCCATTGGGCCGAAGCATAGACACTCCACCGAATACCTCTACTATGTCCAGTGCCTCGTTCTCACCTCCTCCTGGCTGCTTATATGTCTTGAATACTCCAACTATGAGATCTTAGTGCCATAATTCCTGACTTTGTTCCCATCCACCTTTGTGTGCTCCAGCTCCTCCTGTTCCATTCTCCATTATATAAAATACAATCCAGGAGGAAGAGGCCACATCCAGGGCCGGATAACACCTTATAATGGCCACATCCAGGGCCGGATAACACTTTATAATGGCCACATCCAGGGCCGGATAACGCCTTATAATGGCCACATCCAGGGCCGGATAACGCCTTATAATGGCCACATCCAGGGCCGGATTTACTCTCTCTGCTGCCCCAATGCCAGGTACCTCAATGCGCCCCCCCTGTATACAGGCTGCATACAAGTGATCCCGGCAACATCGCCGAGATCACTTGTACAAAACACTCGTCTTCCCTTTCCCCAAAGCAGGGCTAAATGTAGAAAACAACTACCCGCCCGTCGCCTGGAACTGCATGTCCTGGGCATCGGGAGATAGGAATTCCACACCCCTGCTGCCCCTGGGCCGGGCCTTTAAAGGTCCAGTCAGTTCTGTCCAGGCAAGTCCACTAAAAATAATAAAAGCCATTTCAGTCAATAGCACTGGGCACTCTTCTGCATTGCCTTTACCTGCTTGCAATAAGCTCAGTGCACTTTGTATGTACTAAAGGTGCTTCTAATGAAAGGACAGAAAGAAGCCGTCACTGTGCCTGAGTCATTGTGAAGAATAACCACGGCTCGCGTATCACTTGTGGGTCATGGACACACAAATCTACATTGCCTTGAAAGTCAGGTGCATTGTGTGTCTTACTTGTTGCACGTTTGCACAGTGTACACATATAACCCAGCGTTTCATAGTCAAGCCTTTATTATTGGAGCTTCCAATCTACTGCCTCTGGCACCGTCATACAAACAACACCTACACTCAATTTGAGTCCAATTTATCCGGAAGCCGCTCGGATGGTGGGAGGAAAGCTGACGACCTTCAACAAATCTACACAAAAGGGCTTGTGTGCAAGGACACGGCTGTCAAAGGCTGGTTATTATATTCGAAGGCAGCACAACTCATACGCAAAAGGCTGTGTCTGACCTGCTTTGGTTGCAATGCAAACACATCTCTGCTTCATCCAGAGATGTGCAATGCAAAGCAGGTCAAACGTAGCCTTAGAACTGTCATCCACACTGTACCACGGGAATCTGCTCTCCTGTGTTTGATGGGCATTTCAAACGCAGGCAGACGACGTCCCTGTACACGAGCGCAAAAAAATTCCCATGGGGTGCTGCTGGGATGGGAACCAGAGTCCCAGTACAAAATAAACGAATGTCACCAGCACACCGATAGTGTTAAAGTCTAAAGTGTTCGTTTATTGGAACATCATGTCACCAGAACGAGCACTTTTTGGGGCCACGCAGGGCCCCCTTCATCAGGCTCAGCAATGACATGAGTCCCAGTGACGCAAGGCAGCCATACTGTTCACGGGCCACACACTATGCATGAAAGTGTTTACAGATCTGAATATGAACACTGTAATTGGTTAAATCAGGTTCAGTTTAAAAAGGAACTCCGGACAAAAAAACTTCCATTGAAAAATATTTTATAGCCACAAAGGATATACATCCACTTTGTGTGCAGCAAATGTCTTTACAAATCCGAATATTACTCTTAAAAGTAGCAATGACATCCTCACTGTGCTGAACGTAGCCTGTGCAGATACCATAGCTGTGGGAGGGGCCTATCAGACAGGAGGGGGTGGTGACAAGACCAGTCACCCTGCACAAGGAGAGAGAGCAGCAGTGAGCAGTCTTTATTACAGGAGGGGGCGGAGACCATTCACCCCGCACAAGGAAAAAGAGCAGCAGTCACTGGTCTTTATTACAGGAGGGGTCGGAGACAAGACCAGTCACCCTGCACAACAAGAGAGAGTAGCAGTGACCAGTCTTGATTACAGGAGGGCGGAGACAAGACTAGTCACCCTACACAAGAAGAGAGAGCAGCAGTGACCGGTCTTTATTACAGGAGGGGGCGGAAACAAGACCAGTCACCCTGCACAAGAAGAGAGAGCAGCAGTGACCGGTCTTTATTACAGGAAGGGGCGGAGATAAGATCAGTCACCCTGAACAAGGAGAGAGAGCAGCAGTGAGCGGTCTTTATTACAAGGAACTCTGGATGATTGCACTGCACAGATCTGGAAGAAATACACAAAGCTCACCGAGATTCAAGGAAGAATACACATGAGTCTTGTATGAGGACAATACTTGCTTATCTTGGAGTGGAGCTTTAACTCATTCTCACCAATAAGTAGTCTGTCAGTGACGTGGATTCGCCTCAATTTTCACTGTTACATTGACAAATCTGTCACCCGCTTCCATCTGTCATCTGCTGATTGACGTTGTGAGCGAATTAATATAACATCTGGGTCCAAACCTTGCAGAAGTGACGGCGGTATGAGTTATGTTACTTGGATGTTCCCCTTTAAATTCTGTGTTGCATTAACACACATGCGTAAGCACATTACCGCTGACCGCTACTGTACAGTGTATTAGAGCGCCGGTCACTAGGAATGGCACTGCAACGCACCACGGAATAGGCTGTCACGTAGAATGCCCCAGTAATGTCGGCTCACTGCTGCTGATCTAGGAGCTCTAATGGCTTCCAGACCTTTAATAATGAATACAATATTTCTGGGATGGAGCCATGGTCCACTCCGCAACGACCCGCAGAACATTTAGTATTAGGATATACCTTACATAGCAACTGAGGCCAAAACTTTTTCTTTCGTTTTGGAAAACGTGGAGAGAAATTAGAACCCCGGTCAGGTTTTTCTTGCTGTCTGTGTCCCCGACAGGAAGGTTCACCCCCTCTATTGTCCTGGGGACCATAATCATTGAAAGTAAAATAAAATCCCATCGGAACAGGAATTGATGGGACATCTTCCAATGGGGACACTAGTTGTGTTGACCCTGCTGACCACCAGGGACTTCCCTCCCTTTGGAGGGATTTCCTCTCACTTCCTGTTGTATTTGTCCGACAGGAAGTGAAGGGACATCTTCCCAATGGGACACAGATGACAAAGAAAATAGCTGGCAGAGGTTATGGTTATAACTAGAGATGCACCGATACCGTCTTTCCATATTTATTTTTCGGTACTCGCCGATATCAGTACTTCCGGTAACATGGAGCCGGTGTTCTGTTGAGATCTCCAACTCGTCGAGATCTCCAACTCGTGATGTCATATCCATTGTAAAATTCGACGAGATGGCGCTGGTGCGCGTGCGGCAGCCGTCACAGTTTTTGCAATCCTCCTTGACTTCTCCACTTCCTGTAGGTGTCTCTGTGCGGCTTTGAAATTGTCGGGTTCTCCAACTCTCGTCGGTGCTTGTGGCATAGGGTGTCCGCGCAGGTGCACAGCCGCACTCCATGCTGATTGGCCCGGGAAGCCAGTATTCCAGCCAATCAGAATGGAGTTGGCTTCCCAGCCAATCAGGAAGCCAGTCCGTGGGTAATGACTCATAGCCCTGCTTCCTGATTGGCCAGGAAGCCGTTTCCACACTGTTTGGTCGGCTCGATGCTGATTTGTTGGGAATCCGGCTTCCCGGCAAATCAGCATGGAGCTGGCCAAAAAGCATGGAGCCGGCTTCACGGCCAATCAGGAAACAGGGCTGCGAGTCATTAACCACAGACTGGCTTCCTGATTGGCCGGGAAGCTGGCTTCCATGTTCCCTCACGGCACTGGCGGTCAAAGGAAATCTCCCTCTGACACGAAGTTCCGGTATCGGGATAAGTATTGGAGAATTTGAGCGGGTACGAGTTCTCATCCCAATACTTGGTATCGTCACCGGGGCATCCCTATTTATAACCCTCCCTTACTCTATCTAAAATGAAACAAGAAAAGTTTTGGCTTCAGTTCTACTTAAAAGAGAACATTGCGGGGGTAAGTGGTTTTCCCCATAGTTCTCTTTAGGATCACGGGAGGACATATACTAATCTCCTCCCGTGACCCAAAGCTCAGTATATTGCGAGCTACAGCTTATGGTATACCGAGACCGCCGCAGCCAGGACAGATCCCGACATTACTATGGAGATCCACCCAGCTGTGTGAGTGACAGCTTGCTCTGCCTATCTAGAGGCAAAGCCAGTTGTGCCCGCCCCCTGCCCTGTCCGTTCCTCCACTCAGCGCTGGAGCATCGGAGAGGGGAGGGGGTAATCCCTGTGGGCGCGCGGTTTTGTGCACGATTGCTGCACGGTCGGGAGTCGCCTAGGTATGAACCGATTGCGCTGTGGGTGCCATTATTTTCTAATGGCTCCCCAGTCGCACTGGGCGGTTTCCCGTGCAAGTGAACACGATCGCGGTTAAACCATTGATGTCACCCCATTGAAATCAATGGGGCCGTGCGGCAATCGCTGTCCTGGATGTCGTGCGCAGTAGTGCAGGTGTGAACCCAGCCTTAATGATGACTGCGGGGTGTGGGCCGTCTTCTATCATCTTTCCCGGGAAGGCCAACTAGTGGATGGAGTCCCTCTTATAATGGCCACAGCCAATGGCTGGAGATGTGAACGAACTTCCCATCCAGAGAACCCGTCCAACAGCCAGGCGACCTGGATTCTCAGAATGTTCTCTCTGGCAGCCCATGTATTTCAGCTTATGACTAAAGTGTATGGAAACCCAGGAACATATCGCAGCTTAGTAGTTCTACATTGTGCTGGCCGCACTATATTGCTTTACAGTCACCCGGTGATCCGCAGCTTACTAGTTCTACAATGTGGTGGCCGCACTATATTCCTTTAGTCACCCGGTGATCCTGCCAGTAACACACTTCCTGTCCTAGGGTGACAACGCTCACTGTACTGTATCTATAGAGGATCAGCGTTGTCACCCTAGGCTGCCCTCCTGATTTGGACTTTAAACACCCCCCCACACCTAATTTCCATTACATGGGGGAATGTGTCTTGTAGTTCCCAAAAGAGAACTGGTAAGAGCCGATAAAATTGACATTTCAGTTCAGTGCAAAGGAAGTTACAGGGACACGCAGTTTCTTCTTCTGTACTCGTAGAAAAATGTACTCAGCCTGGAAAAGGAAAACTAATGCAGACACCAAATCAGAGGGCTGCTAAGCTGCAATATGTTACATTTTTGTTCTAAAACAATAAACTTTTTTTTTTTTTTTTTACAGATATTCCGGAGGGCAGACAAAAATGGTGAGTGTCAGATCCGTGCTGTCAACCTGGACCCCTGCGGTATCAGTCCCAGGCACTGCGGGGAGACTATACATATTATTAACCCCTGCGGTATCAGTCCCAGGCACTGCGGGAAGACTATACATATTATTAACCCCTGCGGTATCAGTCCCAGGCGCTGCGGGAAGACTATACATATTATTAACCCCTGCGGTATCAGTCCCAGGCGCTGCGGGAAGACTATCCATATTATTAACCCCTGCGGCATCAGTCCAAGGCGCTGCGGGAAGACTATCCATATTATTAACCCCTGCGGCATCAGCCCCAGGCCCTGCGGGAAGACTATCCATATTATTAACCCCTGCGGCATCAGTCCCAGGCACTGCGGGGAGACTATCCATATTATTAACCCCTGCGGTATCAGTCCCAGGTGCTGGGGGAAGACTATCCATATTATTAACCCTGTAGTATCAGTCCCAGGCGCTGCGGGAAGACTATACATATTATTACCCCTGTAGTATCAGTCCCAGGTGTTGCGGGAAGACTATCCATATTATTAACCCCTGCGGCATCAGTCTCAGGCGCTGCGGGAAGACTATACATATTATTAACCCCTGCGGCATCAGTCCCAGGCACTGCGGGAAGACTATCCATATTATTAACCCCTGCGGGTTAATAATTATTAGACCTTTGCCTGCTAGCTGAAGCTTAGGATAACCCTGACAGTTCCGGGTGAGATCAAAATCTGCTAGCAGCAAAAAGGTGGCCATACACTCTACAACCATCGCAAGACTTTAGTCTTGCGATGGTTGTAAAGGGATTAAAAAAACGTACGATCTGCCTATCTTGGACAGGCAGATCGCACTCTCGATCATCGCAAGCCCGCCCTCCTGAGGGGCGGGCTTCCGATGACCGCAATGCTGAACGGGCAGTGTGCGCGTGCGCACACCGGCCCGTTCAGCATTTATCTTCCGAGCACCGTTCTAACCAGCCGAGAATCGTACGATTCCCGGCTGGTTTTCGAACATGCTGGTTCGACAGAAGACGTGCGACCGTACAGTAGAAACGGTCGCACGTCTCCGTTCACACTGCTCGATTATCGTACGAAAACCCGATCGCATACGATTATCGTACGATAATCGTGCAGTGTATGGGCACCTAAAGGAAGATTGTTTTTTGGCAGAATAGACATCTCATGCCTGGTGCATTCTGTAAGCTATGCCCCTTCTCTTCCTCAGCCCCAACACCACTGTCCAGTGCACTCTGTAATAGACATGTGCGATTCGTTTTGTTCCGAATCGAAATTTGGACGAGATTTTGGAAATTACAGCTATAACGAATGCAAACGAATCCGAATTCCCGACTCCGAAATTCGTTAGCGGTAGTCTGTATGAAATTTCGTTTTGTTGGACGAAATTTCGTTGCAGCAAAGTGACATTTGAGAAAAAAAAATCAAAAATTTTCCCCTCAAATGTCACTTTGCTGCGACAAACAAACGAAACGGAATTTCGTACAGACTACCGCTAACGAATTTCGTCTGAATCCCGAAACGAATGGACTTTCGGACCAGAATTCCGAAAAACTAAATAACGCAAAATCAGAATCACAACGAAACTAAACAAATTTTTTGCCGGTGCACATGTCTACTCTGTAATATAACAGACACGCCTCCTCTCTTGCTCAACACTAATGCCACTGTCCTGTGCACTCTGTAATATAACAGATATGCCCCCTGTATTCCTCAGCCCTAATTCTCTAATCCCCGGGTGACCACCATTTTTTGTGTTAAGATCTACTTTTCAAATGACGAGCTACATGAGATCTACCAACGAAAAAAAAACCTCCCTCGCTCTCTCTCTCCTGGCTGTCATTCCTCGTTTTCTCTCCTGGCTGTCTATCTTCCCTCTCTTGGCTGTCTCTCCTTGCTCTCTCCCCTAGCTGTCTCTCCTCTCTCTCTCTCTTTCCTGGCTGTCTCTCCTCTCTCTACCCTGGCTGTCTCTCCCCGCTCTCTCTCCTAACGCTCTCTCCCCTGGTTGTCTCTCCTCTCTCTCTCTCCTGGCTCACCTTGCTGTATTTTGCAAACAGTGTAGTGCAACAGGCTGTGTAAACTAATATTCTTTGATGTAATACATAGCACTTCAACCACCAGTATCCACCAGAAAGGTGTCAGGGAGCTTGGCTCAGCAGACTCAGGCTAATAGGTAATCATGTGTGCACAGCTAAATAAAAGCGCTTGCGCACACTGGCCCGTCCGGCTTTTATCTTACGAACATGCTACACACCCGCCGAAAATCGTATGATTCTCAGCGGGTTTTCGAACATGTTCGTAAGATAAAAGTCGTGCGACCTTACAGTAGTAGAGGTTGCACGGCTTCCACACACCTTACGATAATCGTACGATCGTGTGATTTCCAGCGATTATCGTACGATTATCGTAAGGTGTGCGGGCACCTTAAAGATACCAAAATGGAATAAAGGGGCCACCATTCACACCCTTCATGTTCTACCAGCATCAGCTTTGAAAGCTACTGGTAGATCACGATCTACCTAATGAGCACCCCTGCCCTAATCTGTATTTTAGCTGTGTATTAACCTGTTTGACTAGATTTCAGTTTTAACAGTTTTAGAGATTTTCTGACATCAGACATAATATTTTATCTGAAGTTCAGTTGGAAATACCTTGAAATGCCTTAAAACTTGAATTCTTCTGCTTATCAAAACATTTACTATTCTGTTCAACCAGTGACCTAGGAACCCACGGTGCATAGCATAGCCAGGTCCTGGAGCTCTGTGGCGGAATACACTGCATTCAAGCAGCTTAGATTGGTCCAGGACATAGCCCAGCCTGAGAATGGCTGGTGAAGGGGTCAGTGGCACACCCATGAGGTAAACCCTTTGCTCTCCTGTCCCGCAAGCATTTGCACACGGTTAAACAGATGGCACTGTGCAAAGCAATAGAAACCTGATTAGTCCAGTGCTGCCCCACCCCATCCAATCTGATTTCTTGCAATATTAAAGGAGTCACAGATAAAGCCAGATTCAGGAACATAGGCTTGTTTATTTAACTAATACATAATTGGATTCATTGGTGTTTTTTAACACCTGCCTGGGGAGCATCTCTATAGTGTACCCAAACCATTGTTAGAACCTTGTCCCCTTCCGCCTTGCTGCTCTGTATCTAAAAGTAAAAGTGGAACCCTCCCTCCAAATACTTACAGCAGAATCTATGAGCAGCTGGAGAATGTTTCCCTGACCCTTCAGAGTTCTAGGTCCACCTTAAGGATGCCCTTGCACTTGAAAATGATCACAAGCAATTCTCCAATTGGATTTTCACCCATTACCCCAGCACAGATGTAGTACGCTTAAAGGCTAAATTCACTTTTAAAAGTTACCCCTATATTCAGGGTGTAACATGAAATATGGTCAAATTGCAACCACTCAAACATGACTGCAAAAATGGAAGTACACTTAAAAATTCAGAATTGTTGAACTAAATAAAACACCCATCTGCCATTTGATTTGATCTGTGAATGGAGAAGCTACAAGTTCCATTAGCTACCGCGGCAGAGTGACTTGTAGTTCCCCGTTAGAATACAAGTGTGGCAATGTCACCACACTTGTAGTCCATTTATTCTTCTTGCCGTCCATATTACTTAATGTCCATACAAGGGTATAGAGAGGGACAGTAGACAGAGTCTGCAGGAGCCAGAGCATTGCACCCATACTCCAATTATTATTATTATACAGGATTTATATAGTGCCAACAGTTTGCGCAGCGCTTTACAATATAGGGAAGACATTACAATCACAATACAAATCAAGACAAGATGGTAAGGAGGGCCCTGCCCCTGAGGGCTTACAATCTAAAACTCCAATGATCGCGGTTGCAATGCTTTACTTGCTCCAATGAAAAAAAATAATCAGTGCACATTTTTTCATTATTATTTTTCCCCCCCAAAAAAGTGCAGTTTGGCTTTAAATTCTATTGTGTATTTGATATACGAGATCAATGGTTATCACCTATCTGTCTTTGTTCCAGATGATGGCAAACTGTCATTTGAAGAATTCCAGACGTATTTTTCTGACGGAGTTCTCAATCAAGAGGAGCTACGGAAAATGTTCATCCGCATAGACAGCCAACAAACCAAGTATGTGAAAGAGTAAAAGATGGCCGCCTTCCACTTATTAAATGACTTGATTTCTCCATCCACACTAAACAACATGGATGAGGGACTCTCCACTGCCGGCTATTATATTCAGCAGCCATGGCACCTACAGCCAGCTGAATATAGAGGCACAGGGACTGAATCTGAGAGGATTCACTCATTGTTTGGCTGGCTGATATGTTTTCACTCAGCTCAGACAATTTTTAAATTGACTTTTGTCAAGGCGGGTGCACCTTGCAAGGCCACCTATGCCTCGAATTTGAGCCAATGCAGCAGGAACTGGACAAAATTCGAGCCTTCTATGGCCAGCATTAGTCTGGACATATGCTATATGACCGTACACAGCTGCCAATAACTGGCCAATAACAGGCCCATGTATGGGACATGCTGGGACCATTTAGATGTAGGTAAGTATATCTGCCTAATATGAGCCCCCTAGACAAAATTAGCACTTAACCCTTGCAGTGCAGGGGTAGCCCCAGTGCAAGGGTAAGTTTTTTCTTTACTCGGAGCTCTTCTTTGACTGCAGCAGAGTAAAATTAGGTCTCCCCTCCTGTCTGACAAGGCTGCGCTATGCAGCAGAGCTAAGGAAATCTAAGACCTGGATGGACAGAAATACAAATCCTTCGGAAGGTATTTCCAGATCTCTCATATATGTACTTCATCTGTGTATTGAGCTGTTTGTCTGGAGTTCGGCTTTCAGTGCAGCAGTGTTGCTCTGAATGTGAAATAAAAGTTCTTGGTGGAGGAAAATTAAAGACAATCAAACTGTCAGCAGACAAGAGGCAGAAAGAACATGGAAGCCAAGATCCATGTATGAGACATAGAATGACAAGGATAGGCTCGTCAATGTCGGCTCTTTGTCTGGAAGACATTTGTAAGAAGAGGAGAAATAAAATGTATAAAAAGGAATAAATGTAAAAGAAGAGATTTGTATAGAGAGGAATGAGTCAAGGCTGTGCGGAGGATATGCCTGCTGATACATAGAATAACTCTGAGTCAGTGACAGGGACAATTGACGCAGCAACCAATTAGGAATTATAACAAAGCCTGGTATGGTCTCAGTCTTCTTCTTAGCTCAGGGCTCCAACAATTCAACATAAACCCTTAAGATTAGAGATTTGTTAGAATAGGTTTTTATTGCAGAGAAGAGATGACTGTTTACTTTATGTTGTTTGGTAAAATCATGATTATATACATTGTAGCACTTATATTGTCCAAACATTTCCATAGGTGACACAGCGTAGGAGATGTTTGCAATTAGGTTGCATTGTATATATAAACAGATGTCTACAGCCTTGGTTCTCAACTGGTGAGTCGTGAACCAAAAGTGGGTCACCAGCCTGTGTTCAGTAGGTCGCCGCATGCCTTCCACTTTTGAAGGTGAGAGACTCCTCAGCCTCCCCCTAGCACAGCACTGTCAGTTCTAACACTGAGCAGCCATTCAAAAGATGCTGTCCGGCGCCGAGTGTCATTTTAGCTTGAGGTGGGCTGGGTGGGCTATGGCACTACTGTGTCCTCTAGTGAAGTGGAGGTTGGCAGAAGAAACCACAGAGCACCATGGCGAATCTAAAACACCCTTTGGTCAGTTTATTTTAACAAGAAAGTTGCTCCATTCAGTTGCCAGTAGTGTTGAGGGGTACCCAGGACTTATGGATAAGGTGTAGCATGTGATTCATTCACCATCTCCCTCCTGACAGCACCGTTGATTGGACAAGCAATCACATAGGATCAGAGAAAAAGTCTTTAGCCGTATGAAAGCTCTGACCGGTCCATATGAATGCTGACAGCAGCAGAGTGCATAATAAGCAGGGAGATTACCTCCTTGGTCTTTGTTTTGGCTCTTCAGCTCCATCATTGTCCAATCAGCAGACGGGGGTGTGGTCCAGACCTTGCTCTGATGCTGTTGCTGCTGCAGTGGACATTTAGGTCCTGGCTGTGTTATCTGTATTTATTTCATAGTTTTCTTCTTCTAGCTGTTCACCTGATTCTGCCATTAGGAGTCCTAATAGTCAAGATAGCATGACAGAACCAGCTAAAATGTTTTGAGCTGTCCTAATTTAGGACTCATTCACACTTATTGCATGATAAAATGCATTCTGTAAAAGAATACACCATGAACATTTTTTTCCTGCATTGATGTGCATTGACTGCCAATTAATGTTAAAAGAGATGCCAAATGCAATGAGTCTCAACGCACGCGTTTCGGTGAAAGAAGATCCTATTTTCTTTGTTCCATTGAAGGAGCTCATTATTTTCTGAAATAATATATGATGTTCTAGTTCTTAATTATGCAATTATGCATAAAATCCACCAGTGTAGGAAGCAGTGACTGGCTGGAGATAACGGTCTATCAGAGAGCCTACGTCTCTGTTCCAACATAAATAACTCGCATATTATATCTTCAGTGAATCATTCTATACGCTAGTTCTGGGCTAATTGTATCACATTGTTTTTTTCAGGACAGTTAATTATTCTTAACGTGTTCCAGTGGGGACTATTTTCTGTATCATTTTGCAGATGTCTCACCGGCTTTTTGTTAAATGGAAACTGTTCCCCGTAGCAACAGAACAGGTATCGCCTCTCAATTGCTAACATGGGACCCAGTTAAGGTCTCTTAGAGTTTGCAAATTCCGACAGATTATTCCCAAATTGGTCTTCATCTCCAATGTTAGAATTATGTTTGTGAGAGATGCTGAAAAGTTTTATACAAAGTATTATAGGGATGGGGGTCTAATTTTTACTAATAACATGATTTGGGGCTGTGATACCATTAAGTGCACAACAGTCATTTGTAACAGCACATTTAGACTATAGTAGACTTATAAGCTGCGGAAACATTTGGTTTGGATATTTAGTTGTTTCGGGATTTGGAACCCGAAATTCAATTTGGTTCGGGTTTCGGATTCGGACAAAATCCGAATTTTCGTTAGTTTCGGATGAGTTTACGAATATTCGTTGCGAATACCACAGAAAACCATATACAGATATTAATACTTAAGCTGAGGCTCCTTAGACCTGAATGGCATTCGGGATCCGAATTTCCGAATAGAATTCGGGAGCTACCGAATGCCATTCAGGTCTGGGAGCCATATACAGTACATGTATTACTACAGCTGTGGCTGCAGTAATATATGTACTGTATATGGCTCCCAGACCCAAATGGAATTCAGGAGCTCCCAAATGCAATTTGGAAATTTGGATCCCGAATGCCATTCAGGTCTAAGGAGCCTCAGCTTAAGTATTAAGTATGTAAATACTGTATATGGCTCCCATGTTGCCGTAACAAAAATTCATGTTCAGACCCATTCGGATGCATTGAACCGACAAACACATCTGATTGGCCAGAAAAGTCACATGGGATGGGATCCAAAATTCGGAAATGGAAATTCCGATTCTGACACCTTCAGATGCATTGGGATTCGGAAAATTCGTCCAAATTTTGATTCGGAATGAAACGAATCGCACATGTCTAGACTATAGGTTATTAATGTATGGGGATGAGTTTTGAGTTCAGGTCGACCATGAGTTCAACCCAAGAACTTCACAGTTTGAATCTGGCCAGTTTGCCTGTCTGTTGAACCTCTGTCTGTGACCTAGCAACCAAAGACACTATGGGGCCCACACAGCATCACTGGTTGCTAGGATGCAGGCAGGCGGGCACACCATAACAACCTATGATGCTGTGAGGTCACCAGAGTCTTAACAACCAATCGCAGGCTGCACAGCATGTGTGATATAATATACATGGCTGCATCCTAGCAACCAATGATGCTGTGCAACCCAGCTGCTAGCATCCTAGCAACCAGTGACACTGTGTGGGTTTAACAGCATCATTAGTTGCTAGGACACAGGCGGCCCCACCATGTCTTTGTTTGTTATGGCATGCCTGCCTATATCCTTGACACCAATGAGGCTGTGCGGTCCAGCCGCTAGCATTCTAGCCAATGACACTGTGCAAGTCGCTTTTGGTTGCTAGGACACAGACAACCCCAAAATATAATTGGTTGTTATGCCGCGCCCACCGGCATCCTTGCAACCAGTGATGCTGTGCAGCCCAGCCGTTAGCATTCTAGCAACCAGTAACGATGTATGGACCTCACCGTATGGTTGGTTGCAAGGATATAGGCAGCCTTGTGTTAGGCCCGCAATCAAACCCGGAACTCTGACTGTCCAACTTATGTCTTTTATATTTGCCTGGAGTTCGGATTTAAGCCCATCTCTGGGCAAGCAAAAAAAGTACCTGTGCAATAGAGCTACCCTGCACTGCAAGGGTTAAGTGCTCCTTTTTGTCTTGGAGCTTCCCTGGTGGTCAGCTCTCTTCTCTTCTTCGCCTCTGCTCTGGCTGTAGACTGTTTCATGGTGTCCTCATTGTGACGTACGCCCGGCCCAAACCCACTGTACGTCAATCCCACGTGACCATACACAAGTCCGAACCGAGCGTGAGCGTCACAAGGACGTGGCGATACCACTCTCAGCCTCACCCTGCGCAAAGATTTCCCAGCTCGCGGGACAATCTCAGGCCAGCAGACTGAGAGCGATCGTCACCAGGGTTGGTTAACTCCGCAGTTAACCCTTTACCCACCAAACTTCCACTGCCACCATGTGTTTTTCGGAACACAAACCATGCCCAGCAAATGCTGCGACTATTCAAAACACTTAAACAATGCCTGTGATAGTGCTGTCCTCTCAGACAGGAATATGACAGGATTCACTATACAGTAGCGCTCTTCAAAGAGCAAGGATACTTTAAGTTCGTATTTAGAGCGTAGAGATAAGCTTAACGATTTTTAATATCGTCCTTTAAAGGAGAACCATGAGGTGAGTGCTTTTCACTCACCTCATAGTTCTAGCCGACCTGTGACAATGAGACTGTCACAGGTCGGCTCAGTAGATCGGGAGGTGAGCGAACATATACCGGCGTTCGCTCACCTCTCGATTCTGTCTCTGCCGTGACAGGGGAGGGGCTGGATTCCCCCCTC